CTCAACTCTGCTTATTTTTGTTACAAAGATATCAATGCAGAGATATTTGGAGATTGAGAAGATACATATTTCTGCATAGTATAGTGAAAATACAAAAGTCTTGGGGCACCTGGGTGGCTCAGTGGGTTAAAGCCTCTGCCTTTGGCTCAGGTCATGATCCCAGGGTCCTGGGATCAAGCCCCACATGGGGCTCTCTGCTCAGCAGGGAGTCTGCTTCCTCCTCTCTCTCTGCCTGTCTCTCTGCCTACTTGTGATCTCCGTCTGTCAAATAAATAAATAAAATCTTTTAAAAAATTACAAAAGTCTTTGGATTAGACAAACCAAATGGTTAATTCCATCTCTATAATTTACAAAGATGATGATGTGTGCGGGTTTTACTTTCTCTCTCAGAAGGTCAGTTTCCTCCTCTGTAATGTAAGAGCAAGACTAAAAAAGTATGATGAAGTTAAAAGTTGCTTTATTTTTTAAGAAAATGCTCTTTGTCTACCTTAGACATTATGTTTTGCTGTTTCATATGGTTTTACTTCTTCCTCTCTCTTCCACTTACTTTAGCTTTTAGACCACACACACTGCATATATGTGTTCACATGATGCTGTTTAGTACATATGATACACACATTTGGGGGACTTGATTTCTCCTTCCAGATTAAGGTGAAACATTTCATCCTCGATTTATAGGCAAAGCGGGTTACGAAAGTGTAGACTGATGTGTGACCAATAGCCCCGCCTGGCAAACATGAACTACGAGGTGGCTGTAACAGTTCCTCTCACCCCTGCAGGTGCCCTGAGGCCTTTGCTTTGGTGAGATCAGTTGCAAACTCACCAATTTGTCTGCTACTGTCTCACTTTGGCCAGTGGGATGGTCAGCAAACACTGCTTTGTAACTACTCTGGCCTTGTCTGGGTAATGAGATTGATTTTAAGCTGGGCCTTCCTCGACGTAGAAAAATAAGAACCACGGAAGACATGGCAAGCCAATTAGCCATAAGGAGAATGGATAGGCCTTTCACACACACCAAAACCCATGAGTCCTTAGACAGCCTCACCGACTGTAAGCTTTTACACCTTTGTTATCCTTTCTCTTCTCCCAGGGTTAGCGCCATATGTGACACCTGAAGGTGGTAAACAACTGATCATCTTAACAGGTTTGTCATTTAACATTAGCCTGGGAGCTTCCCTGTTTGGGTTATGTGTGCATCTTTCTAGAACTGAGCCTCAATAATGGTGATATGTTGTCTGCCCATCAAGTAGACAGCCAGTTCCCACATCCTGGGCACCCCCATCCCCCGGATCCTGCCCTAATCTCTAACTGCCCACAGTCACCTAATATAGACAGCAAATGGGACAAGGAGAAACACAGAATTTAAAAACAAGTGCTCAGTCAGAGGAAGATCAATGTAGACCTTGTTTACCACTTGGCTAAAGGGCTCATGTTTACTACACTGGCTAAATAAGGTTAACTTTCATGGTCTTCATGGTGTGGATTTTTGTTAGGTGGTATACTGGCAGTGAAATTCACCTTATTTAATCTCTTTTTTTTCCTGTAGCAAGTGGTGAAAGGAGTTGGAAACACACTGTGGCAGCCCCAGCAATGAAAAATGGTTTGGTTACAGGGACACTGACAAGTTCTGCCATAAACTTCTTCCTCACTAGCCTCCCAAGGCACTGAGTTCTACCATTAGAATCCCATTATTTTGTCTGCAAGAAAAGATGTCATCTTTCATTGTTAGCACCATTTCATTTAAAATACTTAGGGTGAGGACACCTGGGTGTTTCAGTCAGTTAAGCCTCTGCCTTCGGCTCTGGTCATGATCCTGGGGTTCTGGGACTGAGTCCCGCATAGGGCTCCTTGTTCATCAGGGAGCCTGCTTCTCCCTCTGCCTGCCATTCCTTTTCTGGTAAGGAGTGTGTGTGTGTGGTGGGGGTGGGGCTGTCCTGGGTCTTGGGGATGGGAGAGGGGGTGCTGAGGACAAGGGAAGACTGCAATATGATAAATGTAAAGGAAGTTTCATCTAGAGCCAGATCTCTGTGCAGATGAGATAGAAATATATTCACTGTGACTCGATTTAAAATTTAAATGCATCGCCTTTCAGAATGGACCATCTGAAAATACTTTATAAAAACCAGTAATGTTCTTTTCTAAAATTTAGCCTTGTCATGGGGCACACGGATACATACACTGCCTGAAAGTTACAATACCAATGATTTGTTCTTTCTTCTTTTCAGAACAAACAATAACTCAGAAACCAGAAAATAACCAAAGATGCATATGAATGAGCTTAAAAATAAGGCAAACAATTTTAAGTATTACTGAAAAACAAAAACAAGTAAGGTGTCATATTCTTTAAAACTTTTCCTATTATTTAAAATATCTCCTTTCATTTCAGGGACTCCTGGGTGGCGCAGTTGGTTACACGTCTGACTCGTTTCAGCTCAGGTTGTGATCTCAGGGTCATGAGCGCAAGCCCTGCATCGAGCCCTGCATCAGGCTCTACTGTCAGTGTGGAGTCTGCGTGGGTTTCTTTCTCCTTTCCCCCTCCCCCCTCAAATAAATAAATTAATTTTTAAAAATATCCCTTCAAAAAATTTTAAAAATAATAAAAAATTTTTAAAATCTCCTTTCATTTTAGAAATCAAAGTTAACTTAACAATTATTATCTGCTGAGGACGCCAGTTCAGATTGTAGAACTACATAACACAAAATTGGAAACATATGAAGGTTATACATAGGAAAACTGGGATTTTCTGAATATATTTTTATTTTTTCCTGTATAATGCAGTTGATTGTTCTAATGCTTTCATATTGCAGGAATAATAACAGTAAATGAAAAAATTAACATTCATTAAGCTTTTATTAAGTATCAGAAATTTCTAAAATTGTTACATGTAAAATGTCCATGACATGTTGTGGTAGAAACTATAATCTCCATTTTACAGGTAAGAAAACTAAAGTTCAGGAGACTTAACTAAAAGCATACTGCAGTAAATGCTAGAGCCGGGAATTTAAGAGTAATTGGAGAATCTTAGGATATTTAAACTCATTTGACTTTGGTAAGATGGTTTCTCATTCGTACCTAATTCATATCTTAATGCAAACAATAGCTTAGAAGCAATTGTAATAGTTTAGCTTAAACCCACTACTACCTTGAACCATGATCAGGCAGTCCTATGATCAGGCACCAAAAGTATAACCTACTTCGATCTCATTCAAAACAATTTCTCCCATAAGTGGGAGAAATTAAAGTTACTTATTAAAGTTACTCTTCATTTATTAGAATCCTATTTTTCCCCCATGTGTTTGACATAAAAGGAAGAGAATTCCAAAATCTTACCAAACCTTCAATGCATTCCACAATTAATCTCCAACCCACTCACTTATTCACTCATTCAATGACTATTGAGTGCCCACCACAAACTAGTCACAATTCTTGATGCCCAAGCCTTTATTGAGTTCCTTCTATTTTGGTAGGAAAAAGAGACACTAGATAGATAAAATAATATCGATATATTCTTGTGTCAAAATCTGGGAGCTGTCACACAGTAACCATTTATCTCCTTTGTCAGTAAGTTTACCTCTGAATTTTAGCTGGGCACACAGCCACACAGAATAAAATCTACATTTCCTGACCTCTCTTAAGCTCTGTATGGCTATTCGACTAAGTTCTGGACAAAGGGATATAAGCAAAAGATATCTGAACAATGTCAGAACATCTTTTGAAGAAAAGACAGTGTGCCTTTCTCATTACTTTTTCCTTTTTCTGCTAACTAAAATATGAATGTGCTGGCTAAAGCTGGAGTAGCCATGTAGGCCCAATGGGACCGCATTTTAGGGATAATGGAGCAAAAAATTAGAAGGTAATTGGGCCCCTGATGATTATGTCAATCACACCAATCCTAGATTATTTACCTCTGGACTAAGTTTATATGTGGGAAAAACAAACTTCTGTCTTTTTAAAATTTCTGTTTTGGTGTTTTTCTTCCTTCCATTTGACTTTAATCTTAATGAAAGATATAAATAAAAATGAAGCAAAATTAGGGACCAGACAATGGGACCATGTGATATTTTAGACAAGGTGACTGGGGAAGCACTTTAAAAGGAATCAGTAGTTGAGTGGAGTCTTGATTACATGAAAGAGTGAGCCAAATGGGTAGAAGAAGAGTATGTTACAGCTAGCAGGAAATAGTAAAAGCAAAAGCCCAGAAATGAGAACATACTTCCTCAGTGTTCAAAGACCAGCAAGGAAGCCAACAAGGCCCACCATCCAAACCTATTATTCTGTCATTCTCCCAAACAAGAATCCTTGACTTCAGACCTTGCAAAGATTAGTCAACTTTGTAGGCACTGTTCTTTATAGGGTCTCTTCAAAAAGTATGACCCAGTTATGAGTCTAAGCTTTTACTCAAATAGCTTCATGGCTCAATCTTTAATACCATTTCCAAGTGTTTCCCCACTTTGCCATTCAAATATTACCCATTTTTCTGAATCTAGCATAAGTTCTCTCACTCCCACCCAAGAAATGGTTCTACCCATCCACTCCACATTGCTTTCTTCATTCTTGAAACTCTGTAGATATTCCTCATACTTTCTTTTTAATGGTTAATGACCTATCATTCTGGTCTAATTCATGTATGTCTCTTGCCACCTCAATAAGATGTAGCATAAGATCCACATCTTAAAAAGTTTTAAAAATCCCTTTTGGCTACCATCTCCTCAAAGAGAAGGTGCTCCATAAAAACTTTCTGTATGTTCATTCAACCATCTCGCAAACTAGAAACACAATGGAGAGAACCTAATCTTTCTCTGTTCCTCCCTTTAGCCAGGAAGATATGAGTAGCTGAAGTATTTGGTGCTATATATAGTCAGTTGATGTCAGCTGGATGCCAGTCTCTTCAGAAAGGCTCAGTCCCTAGTTTGAGTCAGAGCTAGGGACCATGCCGTCCCAAGCTCAGGGATAAAAACCATCGGGCCCCAGTGCCATCCATATTCCATCTCCACTCTTCCCTCTACAAATTGGGACTCATCCCTGCTGAAAAGCACGGTCTAAGAGCAAGGTGAGTGTATTGTTTCCTAAAATGTTTTATTAGTCAGTTGTCTGGGGAGGTTCAGAGTTATGACTCATAAATGGGCATTCTTGCTTTAAAGGACAGCTGTTGATGCTAATATTAAGATGTCACCGCCAAAGAGTTCTGGTTTAATCTAGTGTGCTTTCTTCATTCTTACAGTTTGCTAGAACTGATGTACCGTGATGCTGATACAAATGAAGGCCAACAAGGAAACAAAGACAGATTAAAATACACTGTGGAAAAGAAAGAGGGAGGGGACAGGAGGCAGCTCTTTCATTGTTTCTCATTGCCTGGTGACCATTGTACAAGTGTATAGATAAGACTGGGCCTGAAATTCTGAGTATTATCTTCTGTTCACTGTGACACTGCCTGTCAATGAATAACATGCTCTGTCACCAGATAGAGAATGCATATTAAAGTCACTCAGTAGAAAGCAATAATAAATGCTCTCTTTCAAAAGGATGATTATAAAACACTCCAAATGAGTTCTTCACATTGCCTCAATAACATTCCTTTATTTTCTACAGGGAACAAAAAAAACCATGCTTTCACATAATACCATGGTGAAGCAGAGAAAACAGCAAGCATCAGCCATCATGAAGGAAATCCATGGAAATGGTATCAATAAAAATCCTTTTTTAGCATTACTATAGCTCAGCATTAACAAAGATCCTTCCTGATGTTATTTTATATTCTATAGTTTACTTCCTTAAATTCTTGCTATTCTGTCATAACAAACCTGGAGCTCTAAGGGTGTAGAAAAGCCTATGGTAACTAATCCTTTTGTAGTCATCCTTTCTCATCTGAAAGCTATTTTCAGATGAACAACTGCTCTAAAGGAATGAAGCAATCAGACAGCTGATGTACATTCTGCTTGGCTTGCCTTTCACATTCACATTATAAGTTAATATCACTCTCAATTCCTTTTTGGGACACGTCTCATACTTGTCTTCATGGTCCAACCCACATGGCATATCTTGATTTCTTTTACCTTATAGTACATAAACATTAAATTATATTCTATCATCCTTTTTGTACAAAAGCTGTTATGTTGGAATTCATATTGTGAATTTCTTTAACCCTGAAACAAGTCTTCATATTTAATAATTGGCTTACTAAGATATTTTCAGTAGAAATCTACTTTTATTTATAATCTCTAGGGAAATATAAAGTTTATGTAGTCTCAAAGCATATGACTCAAAAAAATTTAATATAAATTAGATCCAAGCAGATATTCCACTCTCCTTTTCCTTAAGTTCTAGCAAATAACTCTAAAAAGCAATGCTTTATAAACTGCATATGATTGTTATAAAGGAAAGTCAACTTTATTAAAGTCAACTTTAAAAGGATAGCATCAATTTTAAAAGTAAATGGGTAGAATATCCAGATGCTTTTAAGGGCTGATTTGAGACATTCCAGATATATTTGTGGAGTTTTCAGAATGCCTCCTTATTTCCCCTCCATTGACAAGGAATGTAGCCTTTCACCTGAACACTATTGAGACCTAGAGGCATGAGATCTGGTGGGGGCAGCCAGGAACAGAGTAAGTATAGTGTTTTCATATTTCACCTTCCATAAAGCACACTGCATAGAATCAATCAAAGATTGTTTTAGATATGCCCCATACAATGTAGTTATATCTAAAGAGTCCTGTTAAGTTTCATTTTCTATTTTCTGCAATATAAAATTAACATACTGGATTCAATTTAGTTTCCTTGTTTTATCATGATGTCAGACTAGCCCAGAATAAAGAGAGAATAATTCTGATCAGATTCTAGAACTAAACTTGTACCTGTTCAAAGTTTAAAAAATTCACACTTCCTTTAAATGTTTGTGCTTCTTTATAGTTCCTGCATCAGGTAGTTTGCTTGAAATTGTTTTTATAGTTTTCCTGATCAACAAGGAAAAACTAGATGAACACCTGAGTTTGAGAATAAATTATTTACCTTAAAACTGGACTTAAGTTATTTTCTAATTGCCTTCTAATCATTAATCAATTGATCCATTTAATGTATTCCCAGTTTAAATCATGTGTTGGATTCTACTCTATGTTAGCCCTGACATAGACCTACAAGGGTAAGAATATCTTTTTCTTTTTCTTATAACATAACTTTTGTGTTTATGAAATATAAAGAAAAAATACAATTCTATCTCAAAGGGGAAAAAACTCTCCAAACTATTATCTTACCACCAGTAGGTCCTGGCCATGTAAAGTCTGCTGAAGCCTCCCTCCCAAGTCACGGGTAGATTTCCAACCCCTTTAAGTGGAGTCACATGCTCTGCCTGTGTTTGGAGGTCAAGTATCCTGATAATACAGGATGATCGCAGACTTTCTTAACTCATCTCAGATAAAATAGCTATAGTACTTTATGAAACTGCTTAAATAATTTCCCTCTCTTTTCTACTCTGACATCTTATATGGAATTTTACTACTTGGATATGACATGTTGTCTAGAATTGTCGGGAATTGTGGATGCAGAGATGAGACAGACTGCAAAAATACGTTTGCGGGAATAATCTTACAAACTTTCAAATATTACACAGCAGAAAAAATCTGGATAATTTAAGATACAGCATGCAATCCTTTCGATCTTAATTATAACACTTAGTAAATCAAACATGAGTTGGATTTTCTTTTATAAAACTGAACAGAGAAGGATGTTTCCCAAGCCCTTCTCTCACCTCCTCTCCTTGTGCATCAGGATCTTTTTTCTTTTGTATGTTGTAACTCCTTTATTTCTTTTATCACTTTTCAAAAATGTTTAACCTGGGGAAGAATGAAACACGACAATGAGCTGACTAAATGTATTGTCTTTTAACATGAACTGCAAGTTCACTCCCATTCTTACCGTATAGGAGACACACTATAGCTGGTGAAACTCTGAGATCAATTGGTAGGAAAATGTAAGAATCAAAAAAGGAGAGTTTTACATCAGAGCACTCATTCCATCTGAAGGAGATATAACTGCAAAGATTTAATGAAAAATCCTATCCATCTAGACTAAAATACACAAAACTGGATAGAATGAGTAAAAATGTAGATTACTTCCAGCCTCTAACTATACTTCAAATTGTTACTCATTATGGATCCATTATGTTTGTCATGTCAGATTATGTCCCAGCAGCAAATATACCACACTCCCAACAAATAATTAATAGAAAGTATCCCCTGACACTAAGGCTCTATACTTCCATATTGTTATGTCATTATATCATGATCATCATGATGCTCAGCCTCAATTTTAGAAGTAGTAGAGCTGATGGTAGTAGTCTTGTGTTACTGCTGTGAAACAAAACTTCTGCAGTTTATACAGAAGTAAGAGAACCATTTTGCTACCATCTAACAAGTGCTATTCTAAAAGAAAGGCAAAAGTACACAAATATTTTGCTATTATCCATGCATGAATTAGTTGTGGGGGCAAGAATAGTTGGCTTATCAAAGTTTCATGCCCACCAGCCCTGTGCCATTTACTCCTAATTAGTACATATTCTCTGCTATTAATCCTGTTCCTCTCTCACTCAGTAACTCTTTCAGACTTGAATACCGGAGGAGGAGGGAGAGAGATAGGAAGCATCAAATGATAGGGAGTGAGATGTTGACAGAAAAAGGAGGCGGAGTAAGATTAGAAGGAGGCGATGCTCTCTAGAGCAACTGGCATCTGTCCAGAAGTGGTGGGAAGAAACCAGGGAGGGAGATGAATTATGAGAAACTATGGACCTGGAGAAACAATCTGGGGGTTTCAGAGGGGAGGCGGGTGAAGGGAAGGGGTAGCAGGGTAACAGGTATTGAGGAGGGCATGTGCTGTGATGAGCACTGGGTGTTATACTTAATTACTGAATCACTGAACACTGCATCAAGGACTAATGATGTACTATACAATGGCTAACAGAACATAATAATAATAAAATAAAGAAGTAGTGGGGAAAAGGAATTGGAATAAAAATACCTACAAGAAAAACTGGGCATATGTTGTCCCCGGGGCTTACACACAGATATAATTGACAGTTTAGAAGAACTTCAGAAACAGAGAAGACCACAGTGCCTCGGAAGGCTGCTTCAGTCACCCTACAGTTTTTTTGCTGAGGCTCTGTGAAGGCTGTTTTGGTATGTTTTTTGTTTATGTTTTTAATTTTTCCCTGCACGACTGGTGAACAGCTTTTCCCAGCACACAGAAGAGGACTGAGCAGCCTGTTTTTGTGACTTCAGGAAAAGAGTTTAGCTTTGTGGTCTGAAAACAGGAAGCCTGGGTTCTAAATGGAGTGCTGTTGTTGATATGGTACCAGGAGCCCTGGGTTCCAGACCAGACATCAGATGCCTCATCTGAACATGAGGAGGTTGGATCTGCTGATACGTTTAATTCTAAAATTCCATGATTCTGATTTACTGAGCTGTGTGCGGTAGTCAAACATCAGCATATTTGAGTTTCTCCAATAACAAAGACACTGATAATATTGACATAAATTTCAAGGGTATTTTGAAAAGTATAGAGTATAAAATCTAGAAATTCAGATGGAAGATTTGTGAAGACCCCTTTTGTTTTTCCTGCATCAGCATATCTTAAACTATAATTTTAAAATCAAGCTATCAATGTTAAAATTAGGATGCTGAGAAGGTCTTAAATACCACAGATCCAATATGAAAAGTTGGGGGAGAAAAAGAACTTAACCAAATTCTTCAGTGTACAAGTTTATTAGTTTTCCTTGGTTTAACTTTTCATATTAGTGTTCCATAACCCCCCCCCAAAAAAGTGTGGTTTTTTTTGGAAATTGGTACGCAGTAACATCTTGTGAATTCAGAGATTTTCTGAGCATGCCATAGGTTTCTAAACTTCTAATAAGGTCCTTCAGAAAAGTAGCAGCAGAGAGGTAGGCTAAATTCTAGTTACTACCCAAGTAGAAATCACAGTATTTAAGTCTAACCATACTATTCTATCATCCTTGTTTCTTTGTTGCCTTTTTCACTCTAATAGGTTGTACATGTGCATTTCATAAACAGTACTAGATGATTGTGTAATTCAAATTGTGTAATTCAATATATTGGTAATCTCATTTTCTTAAATTTTTATAAAATTACAGTTATTAAATGATAATATTTTAATAGTAAGTTTTTGAAAACTTTATAAAATATCTGTAGAATTCAAATCAAGGCAAAGAGATATAAAATGGGAAGTTAAAGAATCTCAGATGGATTTCAAAATCAATTTCTTAATGCAAAGAAAATTATTAATGGCCTTATTATCAATTGTAGTCTTTCCAGGTATTATTCAAAAATCACAATCTGGACTATCATCTTTCATGTAATATGTATATATGTATGTTACATTTTGAATAAAGCATATTTTATGCACTATTATTCAATCCACTTAGGCCAACTATCTGCAAACAAGCAGGAGACCTGCGCAAGTACAGAGAAAATCGTTGGCCTCAAGCTTCTAAGGAAATCGATAGGACCACCTTAGAGCAAGTCAGTTTCAGTTAACTCCCCTCAAGTGGTTTTGCCCATTTTACCAGAATTGTAGCTGCCAGGGAATCATGGGGAAAGAGATTTTTTTTTAAAGATCTTTTGTCTTGCTACAATTATGTGTAAATGAGTATCTTTACAAACTATGAATGAGATT